AGCCGCTCCTAAGAAAACAGCTGCTGGCAGCAGACTCTGAATAAAGGAATATCCGAGAGCATGTTTTGGAAACTTGTCACATTAACATGCAACAGCAAGCATAAGTATATTTCTTGCTGTTGTTAAATCATCAGTTCTTTTCACGTTGTTTTGGAGATAACACACCAGATGTCTCAAATGCTATATTTAAACATCACCAAGTGTAGTGTCTGAATGTACATGTGCCTGTTCAGCTGATGTTTTGAAGTTTTCATAAGGTCATTTGAAGATATGAGCTGTGTCATGTACATTTTTCATTTACTGAAACATCCCAGCGGTGCAAGTAACACTGCTTGGATAAATGCATGCAGCACTCTTTAATGTCAACCAGACTGAAGAGAGACGACGTAGAGCAGGAACATATTTTTTGAAACAGTGCCTGAATGTAGACACTTACTTCAGGTTTGCACTGGACCTGTGTGTTCGTTCCCAGAGGAAAAATACCGGCGGATGTAGCAGCTGTGTACTTGTGCACCAGCAACAGTGTCGGGATCTCTTTGGCTGGGGTTGTCAGGTAAATTAACGTCGGGGTGTGCTTCATCGGAGAGTGGACATGGGTCCCTACGCAAACAGGCAATGTTGTGGAGCACTGCACATGCTGTTATGATAGCTGCAGACCGATCAGTGTCCGTCAGCAGCTTTACCCGGAGGCATGCGAAGCGCCTTTTCCACACTCCAAATGTACGCTCCACACTGTTCCTTGTTTTTATCTGGCTCTTGTTGTACCTGCACAAAACGAGAGAATGTGCAAATCATGCATGAGCAGCAAGCGATATGCAAAAGCATTTGTGAACATGTCAAGATACGCCACTGATACATCATCACAATTATTAGGAAGAAACAGTTTTGTTTTTGAAGATAACAACTTGCGTGTTCCATTTTAAATGTGTTTTGATACATCCTGTGTTATTGGCATGTGCACATCATGGGTATGCTTTTCGAGATAACAAAAAATTTGCTGTGGGACAGCAGACAGTAAACCTGTTCAGAGACTGAAGTAAAGCATGTGTATGCTTGTATGGGAGCAAATTTAAAATTTAAGTGGCTTGCGTCTAGGAATACCTTTTCTCTTTGTTTTTATAGTGGGCTTTACAGTTGCAGGTACTTCATTTCTTCCAAGAAATTTTGACATTTATCTTATAAACGGCAGGTTTTTAATCTAGTTTTCATAAGGGACACTGCAACTTTAGTACTTCAAGTACTATTGTGCCAAGTAGCGCACCTATTATAATTTCCATGCTGAGGTTCATGTGCTGTTACCTCTTTTCTGCACGTGTTTGAGGATTCTTCAGTGGTGTCATGAGGAATGGTAGGCACGCATACCCCTGGTCACCAAGGAGAACGCCAGGTACAGCCTTCTGTTCGTAGAGAGCCATCACTCTGCTGTTGGTAAATATTCTGCTGTCATGCACAGATTCAGGCCAACTGGCAACTACATCAAAGAATTGGAGCTCGGGACCAGTGATAGCCTGCGAATCAAGTATTGTGCATTTCTTAGAAATAGTTGCACACAAAAGCAACAGCCATGTTTCAATGTGTGTAACTTGGAAATTTTTAAAAATGTGCACTTCCTTACCACAAACCCTCATGCAACTGTTAAGCACACTGTGCCCGGATAAGAAGTGGCTAATACAACAGGCATTCACAACCCTTGGTTTTTATCAACCTACATGACAGTTATGCAATTTAGATCAGTGCATTGATGGTGCATATTTACCGAAATTTATTTTAAGTTACTGATACACAACATAGTCATGGGTGCGACATTCCTGATTATCACATTACCATGTTCAATGCGAGCTAAGCTACTTAAAAAAATGGCGATTAAAAAGAAAGTGACATTCAATAGAGTACCTTTATGAAGTTGTACGTTACATATGTAAAAGAAAAATTGGCAACGGACAGTGGTACCTGAATGGCGTGTATTCACCATGGGCATGTGCAACAAAAGTAACCCTATTTCTACAGCAACGGCACAGCTTTGAAAACGTGCGTCTATACAACGCTGTCGCAAAAGTTACACACATCAAACAGGTTAAGAAAAGAAAAAAAATGAGACGAAGGCGTCACTTTACCTGCACATTAAGTGAGAAGTATCCCTTGCGGTTGCGGAAGACCTCGGGGTTCTCGCCTCCAGGGCTCACAATCGGGACGTGCGTGCAGTCTATACACCCTGTTACACCTAGAAATAGGCCAATTGCGTAGAAGCGGGCCATCACAGCATTCGCGTCTGCTGCATCGGGGAGTCGCACATATTTGGGAAACAGACGCAAACATATGACCTTGGTGATCTCCCAGACACAACGCGACACATACTGCTGTGAGACGCGCACGAGGTCGCCAACCACTGTCTGCATGGCACCAGTGCCGTAAAACCGAAGCGTGATGAGCACCTTCAGCAGCGGTGGGAGCGGAGTTCCCCTTCGGTCCGTGTTCTTTTTCAACTGTAGTTCCGACATGATCGCAATGACAGACGCCTTGGTGAAACGAAACCTCAATGAAAAATCTTCTTCATCGTAGAATTCCATGGGGTTGACCGCATCGCGAACTATCCTCACTGCCGGTGAATACCGGCAGACCTCTCCAAATGCGAAATCACAAACGCGGTTCAAGAAATCCCTGAAGTCAGCCGCACTCCCGTCCGCCCACGACGCCATTTCTTATTTTACTGCGCTCCGTCGTGTCTGGCACCGTGCACGCACGCTCGCCGCTCGTGTCTCCCCGCAGAGGTGGGGTGGGAGGGTTGCCTCGAAAACGAAAACATCACGTGGGCTAGCTGTGAGGCGAAGCGCTCGTTCAGGGCAAGGAGCGGACCTAACAGCGCACGAAGGTAGCCCCAAAGCAACCTTAAGCTGAGGAAGCGCCAAGGAAGCCTTCACCGAGGGCTCCTCAGTGAGGAAGCTTTCAGAGTGACATAAGGCGGCCTCACAAAAATGAAGGCTTCCTCACTGAGGAAAGGAACGTTTCGTTGTTTGGCCCTAAAACATTTGTGATACGAATGTTGCGGTTTCACCAATAATATTCGAATCATGAGAAATTTGTATCACCAGACAATATAGAGTATGAGCATCAAAAAAAAAATCTGGCATATGTTTCTATTACTGCGTCTTGGGACCACAAGGTTGCGAACTGCTTTGAATAGTTTCTAGTGAAGTTTTTAGGCAGCAACAATTATAACTGCAGTCTTGAATGCACGACCCGTGCGCACGTGTGAAATTTATGAATCAGGTGTGTAGCGACCTGCGACATACACTAGCGCCTTCCTAATGCTAGTTAGCTTTTCCGCAAGACACAAGAGTACTGCACCGAAAGTGAATAAGGAATGCTTTGCAGGTGGTAAATGAAGGCCTGAAAATTTTAGAAGCAGTGTCCTTTATTGTTATTACAGTTGAACCCCTTCATAAAGAAACTGATGTAACAGACTAATGGGTGTTAGAAATACCAGTGTGCCTTCATTCAAAGAGGGGTTGATAGGGAAATGCATGGTACCCTGCGTGTAAAAGACACCTCATATAAAGACAAGAATTTCTGCCCCTTGCACGTCCCTCATAAAGGGGCTGAACAGTATTTTCTTACCGCGGTTGGTTGGTTGCGAAACTTTATTGAGGTCCTGCAAGGCGCGCGTCAGCGCGCAGCGGGCGACTCCCACGTCGGGACCGTTAGGCCAAGCCTATCGGCCGCTCCGCGGGCCTGCTGGACGGCCCAAAGTTGGTCGGCCAGGAGGGAGCTGCGTAGGGCCGCCTCCCACCTGACCGATGTAGTGTTGGGGTTAGTGCGGTGGTGTTGATGTTTTTTGGGAGATTTAGGGCAATGCCAGCACCACGGGAGAGTTTTCAGGTCTGCGTGTCCCCAACAGTGGTGCATGTTGACGTTCTGAGGCCTAGCTCTTTTGCCAAGATCATCTTCTTTCTCTTTCATTCCTCGTCCACCATTCATAGCATGTCTCAATGCTCGAGTTCACGGCCCCCATTGTTGTCCACACGTGGCTGCCACATTGACAGCACAGCATTCCTTGATGTGTAAAAAAAAAAAGAGTGCGACGTCAATGTTATCTGTAATCTATATATGAAGGCATACGAAAGTGCATTAAGGCTTTTAAAATTAGTGCACGCATTCTTGGAGGCTAGGACATGTCATTGAAGGCATAGCTTACGAAAATGGACTAGAGAGGACTCTGGCTCTGCGATTGTTCAACCATTATCGTAATGATGGGTACTACACGGATTTCCTAGGCTTCTTGCTTTCGGGCTTCGAACATGCTTGTCGATTTGTTTTTGGGGTTTTGGTTTTGTTTTAAATAGAAAAAAGGAAGGCACCCTTGTGAACTTCTTGAATAGATTTGAATTGGTGAGCCTGAAAAGTCAAAAAGGTGTAGTGTAACAGCTTAACCTTTGCTAAATTTTTTGCGGCCAAGTGAATTGAGGCCACATGGAGCCAAATTGTGCCGAGAGAACTTAGATTAGACAAATTCGTGGACTACCCAACATTTCCACTCTGGCTAAAGCGCCGTGTGTTACATCTTCCACGCACGCTAGCACCAGAGTCACCTTTCGTATAATAGGACACTCTGTGACGGAAGGTATATTCTGACAAACTGGCGGTGCGGCACTCTAGCCCGCACTTGGGTTTCCGCACCCATGCATGCTTGTTGCGCATTCTGCGACAGCAGGAGCAGCTCCATATCATAAGTATTTCGTAGCGGAGGTTCATATCAAACGTCCCGGGGCAACAGTCGGTACACAACAATCATACTAGATTACTTTGTGGGCTAGTAAACCTCTGCCGGACCAAAGAACTATTCCCATCACCCCAAAATTTGTACAAGCACTGTTCCTACCACCACGGTTTTACCGTACAATGGGTTTTCTGTGTGAGGCCTCAGAATTTAGTTTTGCTTCTAAATGATATGAACTTACTCACCCCTCACATCTTTGCTTGTCACTGCTACTGTGAACCTTCAGGTCAAAGAGCAGCCTGCGCCATACCAACCGTAAAGGCAGTGACACGAGCTTTTCAAGTGGCTGCTCTTACAGCCCGTTGCCCCCATCTGTAGTGCCGGACTTCAAGACTCCTGACTTTGAGCAGTTCCGTAGCCCTTTCAAGGACTGCACCATACACAGGAATCCCAGCAAAGGTTTTGCCATGCGATACGGTAAGTACATGCTGCATACTTCGATGTCAATGCCTAAGAAGCACAAAAACTGCCAAAAATTACCCGGAAAATTGTGGTTGCAAAACCTTAAGCATATTTCTGATGACCAGTGAAGTTCTAAGTGGTCTGGTGAGGGCCAATCTTGGGGTGACGAAAAATTCAAGTTCGAGTGCTATGTATCGAGTTTTAAACAGTGTCAAATTAACGAAAAAATCAAGGTAGCAATAGCCTTCTGTAGCTTGAGTGTGCTTTAAGGGAGGATGGAGGGATAAAATTTAGACTTTCTGAAAAAAAATCGCTTTTAGATTTGAGTTCTTTTGGATTGGTGGTGCATTAACGATGCTGAGGATGCTTGGTTGTTTGTGCAACAGAAGACAATAAAAAAATAATTTTTTTCTCGAGATGTTGGTGTGGAGGTCTCTTACAAAGTCACGGCTGCAAAGTGGGCAAGATGCCGATTGTGAAAGGAACATAAAAGAGCAAAATGTTTTTTCACGTATTAGTAAAGCACAGTTGCACTGTCCTGAAAACACTACTCTTGCCGCGACATGAGGCCTGGTATGCGAAAAAATGTGCGAGAAGAAAATGCGGGTGAAGTCGCCACAGTGTGAATTTTAAAAAATGGCACTTCAAGCTTAATTTTCACTGCTAATAATTAATAATGAACTTATGACAGTCAGACTTAAGGCAACACAGTTTTTAGAGTGCAGTTTGTCAATCTAAATGAAGTCATTGTTTGTTATTAGTTTAAGCACCGACATCAAATTCACTCATGTCAAAATTTTCGCGTAAACGAGTAGCTATCGACCCCCTAGTAGCGATTCGCGACCTAAAACGCATCTGAGTGACGAATGAGTATCTGTAATAATAATATATTCACTACCGAACGTGGTTCAAAATACGTGGAAAATACGCCAAATTGTAGTGCTGGCAGCACTACCTCGCGGCCACGTCAAGGCCGCTGCACAGCTGATGCCGCTTTCACAAAAAATGGGGACGTCACTCTGGCATTTCGTCTGCTAGGAGCGCACGTACAGTCAGTCTACCAGTGTCACTGAATGCTTAGACATGCCTCTGTCGCCAACATCGTAATTCTCGCTGTCGACATTGGCAAGTAATGATGACAACGACCTGAAATTGGGCATCGCAATGATTTGCGACGATCCTTGCTTGACAAGCTCTGCGTTAAATGCTATGTATTTATCAGTCTCGGCGTACTGTCGGAGCTCAGGAACACCAACTACACACCTCATGTCGCGGACGTTTGGCGAGTGGATTGCTGCTTTTAGCTACAGCAGGGCACACGGTAAAAATAGCCTCGACCTCGGAGGTCTCGTACTGCCAGTGAAACCTAACTGGTTCGCCAACACAGGATTTACTCTGTAGCAACTAGCCACAAAGTGAAAAGAGCAAACGCGGCTGTTCTTCACAGGCGTCCAGCCCCTCTGTCTAACGGCGCATATAAAGTCAACCCACTTGCTGCGTTGGGTTTCGTGGCTTGGAAAGGGATGAAACGCCACGCACTTTCCGCTTTTTCCGCGCCTCTACGTGCAGGTTCTCACTAGGCAGCGGTTCCCTGACATTCTGGCACATATTGTCGCTCTGAATGATCGTACTCACACGCAGTGGAGCACAACGCAAATCAGTCAATGTGACACGATGAATCGCACGCATGCTTCAACATAGCAAGGATAGCGACTAGTGAGAGCATGGCTGGAAGTCGACTCCAAACACGCTCGGAGATTGTCGACGTCATCGTTACTAGCGTATTGTCACTCAGGATGGTATTTGTGGAACGTGTCACACCGAACACGTAGCACTAGTGTCGATGTCACAGGGCAGCCTATTTTTCGTTTTTTCTCCTTAGCTTTTCTAAGCTGTTTGACGTCGCAACAAAATAACTTTTACGCGACGAACGCCATTCAAATTTGGCCAAGAAGGCCTACCGTATTTTTGCGCCTATAACCCGCCCCTGCATATAATCCGCACCCCCACTTTCAGCTCACTGAAAAAGAAAAAAAAATCCTCGCGTATTGCCCGCACATTTGATATACAGGAAAGGCTGTACAAAAGCTACTGCTCAAGCAACATAGCACATATGTAGTCAGAAAAAGCTTTATTTAGCAAGCAGAATACGTTGTCTCCAAGGCCAGTCACAATTTACTCACTGTCATTGCTCTCGCTAGAGCTATCACTTGAGCCGCAGTCCTCACTATTATGCACAAGGTCATCTTCGGATCCATTCATGTGGTTTGTGATGCAGCATTTCTTGAAACTTTTTTGCACCATCTCACCTGGAAGGGCCTTCGATGCCTCGACAATCCACTTGCAGAATAGGGCAATATCAGGCCTTCGGACTCGTCCTGTCAGCGTCAAGTCGTAGCAGCCTTCGGCCATTCACTCGGCGTAATAGCGCTTGACATGCGCTTTGAAGGGCTTGTTAAGCGACACATCTAGAGGCTGCAACATTGACGTCGTTCCACTGGGTATAACAACTAAGTCGGTGCCGTTGCGCGAAAGGCGGTCCTTCACTTCCTCAGTTGTGTGGCCGCGGAACGAGTCAAGAACGAGCATGGACCTCTTTGCGAGCATCGCACCGGGCCTCTTCTCTCATACAGTCTTGATCCAGTCTACGAACAAGTCACTGTTCATCCATGCGTTCTCGTGTGCGCACACCACCACACCGGCAGGCAAATGAAACTTTCGTAGAGTTTTCCTTTCCAAGATGACGTACGGTCGCAGTTGCGTGCCGTCGGCAAGGGCACAAAGCAAGACTGTGATGCGCAGTTTTGTGTTCCCGCCGGTCAGCACGCTCACCGAACTGCTGCCCGTCTTCTCAATCGTTGTGTCCAACGGCATTTCAACATAAACAGGAGCTTCATCCGCATTGCCGATTTGCGAAAAAATGTAATTTTTCTGCTTTCGCAGGCCAATCACATATCTCTGTTACTCGAGCAGCTTCTCCTCATAAGAAGCCGGCAAGCGTCGACATATTGTAGTCCGCCGTCTGATTGAGAGCCCTTGCCACTTTAAGCGGTGCAGCCATCCGCGGCTCGCAAGGAACTCGTGAGGTAGGCCTAGCTCCCTCGAAAGTCGCCGCGCTTCCACTTGGGCCATCTCAGTCGGTACGGCGTGACCCCTGCTTCTCACATCTTCGATGAACTTTACTAGCTCTGCCTCCAGCTCAGGGTAGGCACCGGTCTTGAGGCCACGAAATGACCTACAGTCGCGGTGCGAGGCTTGTAGGCTCTTTTTCTTCTTATTCCGCAGTCGCACGCAGGACTCGTCCACATCGTGCCGTCTTCCCGCTTCGCGATTTCTGTATTCCTCGGCGACGACGATGATCTTAAGCTTTTGCTGTGCCGTGAAGGCCTGCCGCCGTACGTTACTCATGGCGACAGAACAGATAGACTTAGGCTTGGTGAACGGGTCGAGATGTGGAGAACTAGCGGTATCAGCGAGGTAAAGTGCCCTCACACTCGACGACAACTTTACAGCACTACCCCTTCTAGTACACTGTAACAGCACCCTGGAAACAACAGAACCGAAATGCATGCCTGCTACCACGTCAAAAAGTAGTACATTAATTTACTGATAATATCTCTATAAGCACTATATCTCGTTTGCCTTGCTGAAATAAATACTGCTCTATTTATTATGGAACTTACTATATTATGGAACTTTCTTAGACAGCACCACCTTTTCGGCAAGCCCTTTCCAAAAGTAAACATGGCGTCCGTGACGTAGGGACATGTGGAGGGTTACTGAGCGGCCGCGAACGACCAAAAAATATACTTGTGGTGTGACAGTGAGATTTTACACTGAACACTCGAATTGTCTCTCCCCAAATGTTTTTCTAAACACTTCAACGATGCAAGCAAGCGAAACCAAAATCGGCCGCAAGCTGCCGTGCTACTTGTGGAGCAACACGAATTTGCGGAAACCGCCTCCGTAGCCTTCGCTACACTGTTAAGGGGCTTCACAGCACAACAGGCATTGCTGTGAAGCAGCACTATAGGAAAAAACCCCGCATATTATCCGCACTTCCACTTTGCCACTGAAATTTTTGGGTTTTTGGTGCGGGTTATACGCGCAAAAATACGGCATGCATACCAAGTGATCGAACGATGCGCACATCTCAATCTTGAAATTTGATGTCAGGGCTGCTTTAAGTGAATGTGTCTGTGTTGGAAAACTTGTATCCAGCGATTTTAATTTATGGGAGACTTTCGGTTTGTTGTGAACCAGGCTACAATCAAATTAAATGGGCAGAAATTTAGCCTCGCTAATGGAAAAGTCAATTGCTCATTGGTAGCGAAGCTCAAGTGGGTGGGAACGTATCAAGTGATTGCCCACCGCTGGTTTAATGCCAATTCTGAGTAGGTTATGGTCATTTTGTGTGATACTTAGCTGATATATCACTCCAAATAGTTCATTGTAATTAGTGGGGGATCTCTTTTGTGACCAACACTTCTAGTGAGCAACATTCACACCTCGAAAGCTGCGAAAAATTGAAGATGATTGGATGTGATTGTCACAGAGCAGCAGCCCTAATTACGCAGCAGGTCATTGCGATTTTTTTTTTTTTTGACAATCGACAAAGGATGTTGTAAAATCATCGAACTCTTTCTTCTCAGTTCAAAGTACGTTAGGAAAACTACGATTTCCTAATTGTTTTGCCAATAGCTGCATACATACAAGGTTCGGTTCTAGACAAACTTTACAGGATCAAGGTAGGGTACTTTTCTGATCACAAAGTATTTTCAAACACATTCAAAAACTTAGATGTCTGACATCCAGTAACAAGCAACAAAAATCTTCACTCTTTGGATTACACCTTTACAAAAATGTCATAAGAGGCGTGTGACTCTCTTTAGCCTGTTCTACAAATCACTTGAAATGGACATAGCTATAAAAAAAGTTGGATATTTTTATTATTTTTCAAAGGGCAGTTCTCCTAAGTTGATATACCTGATCAATCACTATAACAGCTGTTTTTTTTTTAATAATGCTAGGTTGCTAAAATTCAGAGCTAATCTATCTCATGCGATTTTCATCAATATTGGTAAAGCAGTTCAATTGTTGACTTCAGCTCTGCAGAGCCCGTTAATTATGTACTCAAACCTTATTACAACAAAGTGTCATGCTACACAAAAAATAAGTTTGTGATATATGAAAATTTGTTACAAAGGTGCATTCCTTACACTCTTTATATTGCAAGATGACTCTTAATTTATTTCATTATAACTAATACTTCATAATGCCAGTGTTCGAGGTTTGAGTGTAGTTGACCTCTATCGACTTTCCATTGGTGACAGAGCCATATTGCTAAGCCTTTAAGGCAGCCTTTATTCAAGACTATCCATAACTGGGTATGAAACGAGATTTATGTGTGGTTTTCATCCCTCCATCCAGATGACAGCTCTTCAGAGCTCGATTCTCCGGTAAGCGCTACGATCGACGTCAAGAAAACAGTGGCCTTCCCGATCCCCGACACGCCAGCACATTACAGTGAGTACTCCGTAAGGACCTCGTAGTGTCAGTTTTTCATGTGCTGTTGTTTCTGGCTGTTCCAAATAAATGCGTGAGCATGGACCAGGCGATTAAATTTATTTGTGGGACACAAAGTTCTTGATATTAAAAAAAAAGCCACAAGAAATAAGGGCGAGGTGCAAGTGTTAGCCTCGATAATGCCAGTACTTCAGAGCGATAAAACTGTCCTGTGCGATCAAGACATCCTTCAAAACAGTACCGCTCTAGTGTCTCCTGTGTAACTCCGCCAAAAAATAGTTTTGGACTGGAAACATGAAGTTGACAGACTCCTCGGTTCGACTTGTGTGGTTTTACCCTGGCACTACTATACGAGCAACGAGCAGTGTATAATTTTTCATATTATAGCGTTTTACAGGCAAAGCCATAACGGTTAAGGACATCTTACTGCTTTTATTCATTTCGCTATAGTTATCTCTCATGGAAATAAATGCATAGGCTTGCATCATGTGCAGGTCTGTTGTTAGTTTTGTGCCATGACTGCGGATAACCTCAGTAATGTTCAGCACTATTGCAAAAGAGTAAAGAACTGTGACTGGCTCTGAACCTTTCGAACAAGTTTTTTAATTTGGGTACAAGAGTATTAACAAAGGAGAGACGGAAACTGTGAAGGGAACTCAGTTGACCTACACAGCATTTTCTTCAACCACATCAAGTTCAACACCATGAAGTCAGTACCCCCCTCCCCCTTAATTGAGCTGTTTTCACGTCGGGCTTTTCCTCCACACTCTCAAACTCTTGCAATAGCCTACGAATTTGGAATAAATTTAATGCACATTATTTCGAATGACAAAAAATGCAGGTACAATGAGTACTATAGGTGGTGCTTGCAGGGGGCACGGTGGGGCTGGAGCTTTTCCAGTGGTGCAGCTGTTACCCAGTCTCGGTGTGTTGTGGCGAAAGCTATTGACCCGAGGGCATTATGACTAGACTGCTTCAGTAGTTTCATTCCTAGCAGACAGTGTTGCTTCGCTTCAGCAGCAGTTAGCAACTTCGATTGCAAGAGCGCAGTTGAAAGCGCTGTTGTGCACACACCTTTTCGGCGGGCGTAGCAAGTGGCTAGTATACCCTTTTACATGCTGTGCTCCTGCCATTTATGTACTTCATGTTGAGATGACGCACCACAAAAACTTCATTGTGCCCTTGTGCAGCCGTATTCCCTTAAACGATTGCTTTGTGGAAATAAAACAATCGATTCAAAGCAAGTTCACTGCGAAGTCTTAATTCTTATACTGTCATGATTTGTTGCGACCGCATTCATTGCTTCACACTTGTGGTGAAACTGTTTTTTTTTATTGGCGGGTTTTCATTAGAGGTGTTGTTTATATGCAAGAAAAATATAGCAGTTACTTAACTAGGTTATACTATTATACTATATTCATTTGCAGCTGGCACACCCGAACTGAGTGGCAGCCCCGAGGTGTTCACACTTCCCGTCAATGTGACCATGAGGCGAAGGCGTGCAACGAGGAATGTGTCTCCCCTTGTTCTACCGGAATCGTTGCCGGAACACCTTACGGAGTATGTCTGAAATCTTTTGCTTTGGTACCAATAATTTTATATATATATATATATATATATATATATATATATATATATATAGGAAAGAAGTGTATACTTAAGGGCTTGTTTTTCAGTGTTTGTCACAATATTAATGAGATATAACAGACAATAATGCGAAGGAAAGTATAGGGGAAGATATAAGGCCGAATCGGAATGTAGATATGAAGAAAAGTGGGTGAAAAAAAATATATATATATAATGTGTGTGTGTGTTGTATGAATATTGCGTGCGTTAGTAAGTTTTAGTTGGTTAAAGAAGTTTTTTCTGTGACAGCCGAGGAAATGACAAGTTGCGAAATGAGTGTGCAATGCCTTTGCATGCTATGAAGTATTTCGAGAGCTTGAGGGGATTTGAGAGTGCAGTTGCAAACATTCTAAAATCCAAATGGTTAGCACGCGTACACACGCACAACACTTTGTTCAACATTTGAGAGAAGAGGTGTAGTTAAGACATTATTCTGTAAAGATAAACTGCTTTATTGTGGCTGGGGCAAGACGTCAGAGCATAAGTGGACAGGATGAACACAGATCGATTTGGAAAGCAAGAGAAGACAATTACCTGTTTGTAGCAGGAAGCTACAATAAAATCCTTGTGTTCATATGCTTCGAGTTGTCGATAAATTCGCTCTCGCGGTGCCTAATTGCTAGCTTCCTAAAAGAGTGACCGCGCCGTAAAGGCGTTGGTCCCGAGTTCAAATCTCGCACCAGGATGAATTTCTTGGGAACTAAAAAGCTTTTCTTTCTGAGAAATACGTACGGATTTCCTTGTGGCTTTGTGCTGCAAATGGGTGGTTGTCTTTCTCCCCTTTCCTAATCCCTCCGCCACCTTGCAAATTTCTGCAGAACTCATCTGTAACACACTGATTTATTAAAATCACACCAACTTGCTTCCTGGAACAGTGTACGTGCACAATAAGTCATGACCTCGTGCTGACAGAATGCTCCGTAAAAGCCCCCTATGTACTTTTAAAACCAGCAGGTGTTCAGTGTACAAGTAGCTCCTTAGAAATAGGACCCAAACGACTATGTGCCTGCCGCTCTCTCTGCTGGCTTTCTAGAAAACGGTAAGGTGGCGAGCGGTGATGCGGCGGGGACATTCGACTGTGTACATGAAACGAATCGCATGTGCACGAGAGAAATCCAGTGCGAGATTAGCCTTTGCTTGATGAGATTCAGCCTCGGCAATTATTGCGGTTTTGGCGAGTAGCAGAATCCATTTGTTACTCCAAAAGCCGGCACGTTGCCGAGCATGTGATCTCTTGCACGTCCCGCGCAATTCAAACTCTGCGTAGTCGTCGGCACTGGGAAATGCTTTTTTGAACACTCGGACTGCGTGTTTAGTTCGTGTTTTGTCTCATTGCAAGGAACCATCGATGCGAGACAGGTTGTCCTTGAATCAAAGTCTATCGTGTACGCGGCCACTGTGTCCAGAAGTGCACTCGACAAAGTCTCGTTCGAAACGGCAGTCAGCAGTGATGTTGAGGTGCGGTGGCCCATTTTGTTATTTTACAGTATGCTGACGTGCTCGGTGTGCCTGCATTCTTGGATAATGGCCTGCATCTCTTTTGTCTGAAATAAGCGTGTCACAATCTGCACACGTTTGCACAGGTCTTCGTTAAACAGACGATGAGCCCGATGACAAAGGCTTTCTTTGTGCGATTTCGGGGAAGTGCCCTGCAGACTTGCGCTTTTTTCGCGTACAATGGCATTAGAGCACTGAAGTTCACGTAGGGAGAGTGAGTGCATGCGCCATCTGCCGCCGCGCCCGTGCAGCAGCTGTTTTGCTTGGCACGCTTGCCTGGTCTTAAGAGCTTCGCTTGGTGGTGACGTTGAAGCGCCGGGCTAAGGAGCTTCGTGCCTAAAAATGATCAAGCTCTTTCTTTGCATAAAACACTCCACTCTTCCCTGCAGAATAGGAGTGGTGTGTGGCCGAACGACCTATGTGTGGCAGACCGGGTTATGTAATAAGTGGTAAATAGAGCATTCCAGCTCACTAGGAGGTGAGTGGGAAGCACCTGCTGTTTAATTGTAGGACATGTGCCAAGAAGTAGAAGCCAGTTTTAATGTGATAACTTCGGAGAGCTCGTTTTGCGAAAATCGGGGCATCGGACTCATTTGTTGCGAGCGAAAAATCGCTTTATTCGTGACCGAAAGAATAAGATGCAAATAAAATAAATATATCAGGGTCCCAGTGGCGAGCGATGCTGTCTGCATGGCAAGCAAGTGTTCTACCACAGAGTTGCAGTATTTGTCAGAATAGCCTCGGGCAAAAAAAAAAAGGACTATATCAGTGTCATGTGGTGGAAAGAGCTTACGCTTCATATATTGCGTGGCAGAAGCATACGGTCTCGCCAGGCATCAAAATATATGAATTTAGCAAAAAGTGGATGCTCTAAGAGGCCATCCATTATAAGGTCCTCGGACATATTTAACCATAATCAGCAGCAGAACCATCAACAAAGTGAACAGCTGTGTAGATTCGCGTGTTGCCCTACGGACACGTAGGGGGCCCTCCGCTGATTCGCAAAGTAAATATGGCCTAGAGGCACTTAACAACGGGGCTTGTAACAGGCATTCATCGATGCTTTGAAACGACCAATGTTACGCAAACAGTCATTTGGGAAAGGGAAGGAGGTCTCCGATTTCTCGTTACAATTTGCCGTCGCTCCACCTAAACCATTCTGACACTCTGGGTGGGACATATTCTGTGTTCAGAAGACTACTTAAACGAAGTGGCCTGTCTGCTGTGCTTGCTGTTCTCCTTCTGGATCGATCTGTGTAAATACACTAGCAAATAGTTATGGTTCATCTCGTTTTACATAACAGTACCGTGGTTCGTTGGCGTAAAACCACAAGTAATAACTGAATCGTGGCAGAAATCCATCCTTATTTGTGGTGTGGTGTACATTGGTGTGCAAGAGTCTTCTTCAAGTTTCAGTTTGCAGTCCACACTTTCGTTTTTCTCGTTGCAGGAGATTAGAACAGGAGCCTGAAGGTGACAAAGGTGATGAATCGGGCGACAAAGATGATGAATCAGACATGTCTGACTATGGCGAGGACACGGGGGGCGCCACAGAAATCCCCAGTGCTCGAGCACCGACGGTGCCGCTTTTCCCGAGCCCGGACTTGGCAGCCTACAGGCGCATCATCCACGAGGAGATGGCCAGGTGTTACGGTGCACACATAGTGTCACCAGTCTCAACAGCCGATTCTCCGGCAAGCACAGGTGAGCATACTAGTAATTATAGACTGGGATGGACACTGTGGAACAGTTTACCCTCTACTATAACGGAATTGTCTGTAAAACAAACTACAGAAGGCTTTCAGTAAACGGGAAATCTGTTTAATGGAACTGCTGCTTATTAAATGAAACTGCCTGTGGTATCATTGGTCTCGTACTTGAATTCTACACGCTTGTTTGTCGCTCGGTAAATGAAACTCTTGTTAAACGGAATATTCTGATACCTTTATGTCTGTTTGATAAGGTTCCTGTAACATGTTGCCCATATGAAAGACTGTGTTTTCGAGTAGTGGAGGAGTTTGCAGGCCTTGCTGCCAGGAGAATACATAGAACAGTGTTTTTTTTTTTTTTCAGCTGCACTATAGCAAGCATACGCACAACTGAAAAGGAAAGCATGTGCGCATTTTTCAATAAAAGTTTAACTCTGCGAGGGTCAAATTTTTTGTGACATAACCTCCAAAAATGTTTTTTTTTATTCCTGAACTAAATTTTTGGGCTATTCTATCTTCTAAAAAAATTCTCATTGTTTTGAGGGACCATAAAGCATCAAGTAAAATCTTAAAAAAGAAACTCGTATAATTTTTTTAGAACTACCATAATTACTCGAATCTAACGCGCACCTTTTTTTTTCAATTAAGGGAGTTCATAAATCGCATGCGCGTTAGAATCGAGTACGAAAAAAAAATGAATACGGTCATTCTATTGCCATCGACATTTCCAAAATGGCCGCCCCCTTCGTGTGTCGGCATGGCGCGTCAGCCATTTCTGCCTATGTGTTTCCCATGTGCAGCACTTCGTACGTGTGCTGAGGAGTTCGTCATCTTGTATTGCATTAGCATCGACGGCATGGAAGGGCCGACTCCAAAAACTCGAGTGCACCACGATGCCGCTTTTAAAAGAAAAGTCATCACGTGTGCAGAAATGGACAGAAATCGGGTCCGCATCGCGGTCGTTCGGAGTTACAGAAACTGTGCGTGCGGGACTGGCAGGAAACAAAAGCAGAAGATTGTCGACAGCAAAGCTTCACGCAAAGGCTCCAGTGGACCACTGCAGGGTCGGTTTCCGCAAATTGAAGAACTGCTCGGCGAGTATGTGCTTGAGCAGCAAGCGGCACAGCGGCCTGTGACGACAGAACTGCTCCAAGTGCGGGCTATGCAATTAGCCTTAGAAAAAGGTCTAATGCGAGCCAGTTTAAAGCGAGCGGGTGCTGGCTAACTAACTTTATGAAGAGGAAAGGCTTTTCCCTCCGAAGGTGAACGGGCATATGCGAAAAGTTTTGCGGAGGAGTACGATGAAAAGCTTCACAGTTTTCAGAGGTTCGTCCTAAACTTGCAGCACAACAACGGCTACCTGCTTGGGCAAATCGGGAATGTCGATTAGACGCCTCTTTACTTCAACATGCCTGGCACCACAACCGTCGAGAAGAAGGGGCGAAGGAAGTTCACGTGCTGACACCTGTCCACGGTAAAACTACAGTGACGGCAATGCTCATTTACACGTCAGATGGGCACAAGCTTGCCCCGTACCTCATATTTAAATGGAAGACGCTCCCGAAAGGAGTTGTTTTTTCGAGTGGTGTGATCGTTCGGGCCAGCGAGAAAAATGGGTGCGCGGTGCAGTTGATGTTACTTTTTTTTTTCGTCGTGAAAATCCGGTGCGCGTTACAATCGAGGGCGCGGTAGAATCGAGTAAATACGGTAAGTTACTTTTGATAAACATAGCTTGCAAACATACAAAAATAGGCACACAGGAGTACTTTTTTGCTGGACTCTCAAGCAGCAAAGCAACTGGCGCACACTTTAATAGCGCAAGTGAAGTGAGTAAAAGTGCAGAAAAAAATCCTTATGGTCATGCTCCTATAAAGAAAAAAAGGAGAACAAGTGAAAAAGGTAAAATAATTATTAGTCTTAATGGCAACAAGTGAGAGTTAGCGTTTCAGAGTCGCCAAAACAGGAAACGCAACCAGGGCGGCATTGTTTGTGCAATGTAGCACCTCATAAAAATATAGATGTAATTGCGCCCCGGGGAGCAATAAAGGAGAAAGTAACAAGCGGTCACTCTTTACGAGATTATACACCACACAGCCATCAGTTTTGCGGGCGCAAGAAGCGGAAAGCACCCGAACGATGAACCCAAACCAGCTGCACTGCTAGAGGCACGCTCGGATGCGCCAGCAAAAGATGATGCAATGCCATACACTTACGGCGTAAACCCTGAAAGATTAAATGTATTAGTTGCAGAACTTGCTACTTTGCTCACTAGCCATCAAGACAGCTCTTACTCATGAAACCTTAGTTCGGAGGCCCTAGTGGGAAAACGTTAGAAGCCAGTGTGCTGTGTGATGTCAGTGCGTGTTAAGAAACATCATATGGTCAAAATTTTTGGAGCCCTTTACAGCGACATGTCTCGTAACCATATCGTGGTTTTGGGATGTAAAACCACCGGTAAACTTTATTGCTGGCCCCAGTGACAGTGAAACATCTTTGGTGTTCCTGCTCCCAAGCTCGTGTGATCTGCTCACAAGTTCTTGTGATATTTCGTATGTTACTGTCACTGATCCTGTTTATAAGGAGGCAATCGCCAGCCAAGTACCAAGGGCCAATGAACCGGCCCCTTCTACATGCACTACAAAAGCACAGAAAATTTATGGTAGGCCCTTTTTGGGCAGCAACGAATGATGGTTGTTGTCCAAAGACATTCAGAGCAGAGAGTTCCTAAAGCAAAATATAATCTCGGTTAAGGCTGCAAGCATCACACGAACCTGCACACTCAGTTATCAAAAACAGCTACTCATAACTCTCAGTGTAACTTTGATATTGTTTAAAACAACGGAAACAAACTGATCGCACTACATATGCAATCTCCTGCATTTAAGAACACTGTCTTGACCATTTGCATAATGTACCCAGCCCACTACTCTTGAGACATATCTCGATTGTTTCTCTTTCACGAAACATTCTCACAAACTCCAGTGCTGATAGTCGTTGTTCTCTTCTGCTATCGGCCTCTTGGCGACGCTTCTCAATTTTTCATTGTTTTCTCAGCGTCATCATTCTATTCTTTCAGATTGATTGACCACCCTACCAGAATCGCTTGATCAATATAACTTCTTCATTGGTGTCGCTATCCTGCTCACCTACTCCTTCCGCCACCGCCTGCTTTTATCCTCTCGCTTCTGGATTTGCAAATGCACTCAAACCTGGATACAACGAAATATCGGTTATAGCGAAGTAAATGAAGGATATTCTTGCAATAGAAATATTGCTAAGAATGTACCGTAATTACTCGAATCTAACGCGCACCTTTTTTCCGGTTAAGCCAGTTCATAAATCGCATGCGCGTTAGAATCGAGTACGAACAAAAAACATTACGGTCAATCTATTGCCATCGGCAAATCCAAAATGGCCGCCCCCTACGTGCGTCGGCATGGCGCGTCGGCCATATCTGCCTATGTGTTGCCCATGTGCGGCACTTCGTACGTGTGCCGAGGAGTTCGTCATCTAGTAGTGCATTAGCATTGACGGCGTGGAAGGGCCAACTCCAAAACTCGAGTGCACCACGATGCCGCTTTTATAAGAAAAGTCATCGCTTGTGCAGAAACGGACGGAAATTGGGCCGCATCGCGGTCGTTTGGAGTTCCTGAAACGTGCGTGCGGGACCGGCGGAAACAAAAGCAGAAGATTGTCGACAGCAAAGCTTCACGCAAAGGCTTCAGTGGACCACAGCAGGGTCAGTTTCTGCAAATTAAAAAGCTGCTCGGCGAGTATGTGCTTGAGCAGCGAGCGGCACAGCAGCCCGTGACGACAGAACTGCTCCAAGTGCGGGCTCTGCAATTAGTCTTAGAAAAAGGTCTAATGCGGAGCCAGTTTAAAGCGAGCAGGTGCTGGCTAACTAACTTTATGAAGAGAAAAGGCTTTTCCCTCCGAAGGGGAACATGCATATGCGAAAAGTTTTGCGGAGGAGTACGATAAAAAGCTTCACTGTTCTCAGAGGTTCGTTCTAAACTTGCGGCGCAACAACGGCTACCTGGTTGCGCAAATCGGGAATGCCGATCAGACGCCTCTTTACTTCGACATGCCTGGCACCACAACCGTCAAGAAGAAGGGGGTGAAGCAAGTTCGCGTGCTGACATCTGTCCACGGTAAAACTACAGTGACGGCAATGCTCTGTTACACGTCAGATGGGCACAAGCTTCGCCCGTACTTCATATTTAAATGGAAGACGCTCCCGAAAGGAGTCGTTTTTTCGAGTGTTGTGATCATGCGGGCCAGCGAGAAAAATGGGTGCGCGTTGCAATCGATGTCTTACTTTTTTTTTTTTTTCGCGGTGGAAATCGGGTGCGCGTTACAATCGAGGGCGCGGTAGAATCGAGTAAATACGGTACCTTTATAACGAATTTTAGGTTATAACTAACCTGTTTTCATGTAAGATGCCTGTTTGTTATAATGAAGTTGGAGTGTATATTCCATGATTTGTCTGTGCGTAGCACAGCCAAAGCGAAAAAAAGGGCAAGATTTTGCAACAAAAGGTTTTACAAGATCACAACAAGGATAGCGTATGCCGCTATTGCTTGTGTCCATAATCACTATTGTGCTGAAGAAGGAAAAACACTCTGTAAATTAAAAGCCAAGGGCATAGTAGAATTCGAACCAGGGTACCCTGCGTGCCAGCCTAGTATTCTACCACAGAGCCACGCTGCTGCTTGTACTTTGTTGCAAACTAGCTTTAGGCAGGCTTGATGTCGGGAAAGGAATGGCGTTATTATGAATAATAAAGTGCCTCGGAACCAGGCGTCGCACAATGTGAATTGCTTAACGAGTGAGGTGTCGGTTGCTCCAACCTTACTCGAGCTTCAGGCATAATTCTTCATCATCGTCAGTCGCAGCATGAGAAATTTGCACAAAATTTTTTGCAAGTGCATAGTGGGTACCACCCTTCTCCGATGAATGATGAACATGGCATAGGAATCTTTGTTTTCTTTTTTTTAATATACTGTCTTCATTTTACAACTTTTTTTCCATTTTTTTTTTTTTGTTGTAAGCAATAGTGCAGTTATTGCCCATATGAGACTATATGTTCTCTTGGCCGATCCCCCAGAGTGGGTATGAGCCATGGATTCTAGGCTACAAACAAACAAACAAATTCCTGACCAATTTTCCTCAGTGGGTATGAGCCGCAAGAGAAAGTGAGCAAGAATGCCGGCCTACTACTACACAAAATTTATAGGGTGGTGGGTATTCTGTGAGTGGGTTTGCAGCAGCTACTCAAAGATTGTTTATAAAAGGCTCTTAATGGCCACTCCTCCAGCTTTCGGTGTGACTGTGCTGCACATTTCGCACAGGCCTGGTGTTTCTTTTTTTTTTCCTCGCTGGTTTTACTTATTATCGCATAGCTTAGCTTTGTACCAGGCTTCCTTTCACGGTGCTTCGAGACTTCGCCCGGAGTTTGATCAGAGACTGCTTTTGGTCACCTGCCGTTACGAGGGGCAGAGAAGGCGTACTCATGGCATCTTTTGATGGTTATTTTTTTAATGTGTCACGATGAACCGATGAACCGTCAGCGCCTGGACTTCACTCGGCCGTCTGAAGTCAGCAACGCGTGCCTAATTGAGCACCCGTTTGTAAGTTTCTAGTTGACAGATCGCATAGTTTGGTCACGTATGGTGGAAGGTCTCGGCTGCGAAAAGCATCCAGACTCCTGCACATGAAAGCCTCATCCTTTGGCATGACTTGCAATGATTTGCCGCTCCATCCATTACTGAACAGTGCTGCACCAGCCATTACAAAACTCCAAACTTGCGTCTTGATGTGCAGTACTTGCTTCTTCGGCACAGAGAATGGCAGCCTTCTTGAGCACTATTGTGAACGAGTGCAGTTTTTTGAGGCGAGGATGGCACTCATGATGGTCAAGCTCGACTGTTGGGAACAGCGGTAGCACGCAACAGCTGAATTAAAACATGCAAGAGCCAGTGGCGCTACCGACAATTATTACCAGTACCCCTCAAACAAATGGCCACTGCCTATTAGTACAGTGACTCTTCAGTCAACGATTGCATTAATTACGACATCTGTGATCGTCATTTATCAACCTCATGGTGTTTGTATGAACTCAGTGGCATGTAATAAAACTTATTGAGACATTTTGAAAGAGCTGCAGAACAGAATCCAATGAGTAAGCCAGAAAGGAAATTTTATGTTGAAAGCACACTGCAGTATCCAATGGCGCGTTTCACTGGTAGATCCGGAGCAGGTTTTCTTGCTCTATTGCGACTAATCTGGATTTCGCTGGTAGATTCGGAGTGGGTTCGCTCTTTTTAATGGCAGTTTCAGAGCAACTCGCCCGGAGGGGGTCTTGCTCTCGCTGCTTCCCTGCCAAGTTACAGATTTGGGCGGAAGTTCGAGGAGCAGCGTACGTCACTTCCGCCATTGTGCATGGGCTGAGCATTGCAAAATGGCTGCGTTCACTGCTGTGTAGGAACTGCGGTCTAGCGATAAGCACGCCCAGCAGCAGCAGGCGCACAGCCACAGAAATCTCCGTGTGCTCTTTTACATTTTTCAGTGCAGCACAAGAAAACGATACCCCTGCTTTCCGTGAACAGTGTGGTCGAAATGCACGCTCTGCAGAGGCGACAAGTTTGCCATGGAAACATAGAAAGCTGAAAAGGGAATCATTACCGGAACTGGTTTAGTGACCTGTACGTAAACAACTTGCGAAACGGCCTCCGCGATGCAATCACGTGTTTCACTGGCAGATTCGGCTTGGTGCAATCCAAGGGCTCGCTCCAGGATTTCTGCGGCTATTCCAGGTCTTCTAGTGAAAAACGCTTTTAGGTTTGTGATTAGTCTTGTTGTTGCTAGCGTTCGATGCTTCGAGTTCCAAAAATTGACTCTGCATCTTCATATGTAAAGTTTAAATCTCGTAAGTCAACAACATGCAGTTGCATAAACATGGTAAATACAGTTTAATTGAGACTTCACTTCAAGTTTCAACTGTATGGGCCCACTTTCATATTTTAATGTTTGCCAGCTGGATTGGGCTCAAATGGCCAAATGTCGTAAAGTTACAGTTCAACATAATGGCTATGCAGACGCTGCTTGTGCAGTGAGAAGATTTTTTGTTTTTTTTTTTGTCTGCTATTTTTTCTATATACATTTTCACAGTGCCTCTGGCAAATAACAGCTGCACTGTTGTCCCCTTTTTTACTACTCTTTTCAGTGTCAGGAATGTCGACTGGCGGCCACATTGCCTCATCTCCAGCTGTGGAGACTACCCCTGCAGTCCTCGTCCGTCGACACTGGCCACTGCCTTCGCGGGACTGTCGGCACAGCCAAGACTGAGCCCGATTCTGAAGTTGTCGTCGCAACAAAAGGGCCACCTGAGTACTGTCTTGGAGTGCACGGAGACAAGCGACAAAGGGAGTGGGACAACTGCACTCGTGAGTTGTGTTTTTGTGTGCCACAGTTGTATTCTTTTTGATGATCTCTTTTGAAGTAGTCTGCATGCATCAAGTGCTTATCAAAAATAGTTGCTCAGAGGAACCCGACAGCCTGCCAACACGCAGTACCAGTGAGTCTTAAAGCTTTTATACACATGCTAGCATGATGGTGAACGCGAGCACTTTCTTTGCAGCCTGTTCATTGGTAGGCAGCTAGCAATGTCCAGAATACACTAGCTCTTTCCCGCTTTCGTTCGGCAAGCTACGAGTAGCTTGCCGGCTTGCCGTTGTAGAAGGCGGAGAGCCGCGGAGCGCGGCGCTTTGCTTTTCGCTCTTTTTTTTTTAAAATTCTCTCAGCCTCTCCGCGGTCGACGCGCGGCGAGGCGCAAAACGTGACACAGCTGGCGCCATCTGTAGCGCGTCGCGCCAACTCGCGATGCTCTCCTCGGCTTTTTGAACGGCCGGGACGCGCTGCCGGCGCTGTGCTGCAGTGGCGGCAGATACGTACTCGCCTACGCTAACTTTTCGTCTTGTCTCGGCATAGTTCGTTTCAGAGGAACTTATCAATCTAAATGTTACGATTATTCTGAATGAAACATGCCGTCCACGGCAAACTTTTCATCGTTGTATCCGATATGCGGTGGATAACATATCGTTATATATGGTTTTTTTCCCCATAGCCCCAATGCATAAAATGAGACTGTTAAGTCGACCCATCGTTATAACCGATATATCGTTATATGTGGTATCGTTATAAGTGGACTGCACTGTATTGCAATGTCCACAATAGTCGTAGTATTGGACTTGCGGTAGAATGCAAGTAATGACCTGATATATATGTTATGTTTTATTGAAACTTCCTGTACTTTGAGTGCATCAGTTGGTATAAGAAGCTCTTAAGCTTGAAAAATGATGAATAGCAATATGTTCATTTATCAATATGTTCATTTATCGTTAAAGTGGGGCTTTGCGGCAGTGTGGATTTTTTCTGAACAGGTGTTTCACGGCTTAGCCTTTTTTTTTTTATTGCAGAAGAACCATCTTTTCAGGGAGTTACATGCAGTTAATACTAAGGCTGGGCAGAGATAACCGAAAAAGTGTTCCGGAATACAGATATTGAAATAGAAGCCTAAAATACAGATACTGAGATACATTTGTAATTGACGTAATGGGATATTTCAGAGATAGTTTTGCAAAAACTGAAATACTTTTCTCTATGTCGGGGATAGTCATACTTCGTACAAAGATTCGTTATGGGCAGCAGAGTATTTTAAATGCGCAGTGCATTGAAACTTGCAATTATTTTTACTCATTATTTTATCACCGTAGTCCGAGTTCTATTAACGCATTACAAAGAGGCCTACACTGCACATAATTGTTAATAATGACATATTTACAGATATCAGTTGCAATAAAGAACTACGTATGCTGTATGAAAGCAAGTCAAATGCATTGTACACCGAAATCCGGATACTTGGCCGCAACACTATTAGCTATGCTAGAAGTAGCATAGTTCAAGCGAAGGGCTGGAACCATTAACAAACGAATCGAGAAAAGCTATGCTTTTATTTAACACAAGTCTGTTTTGTTTAAACATTTGGCGCATCGATAGCACTTGAGCAGCAGTAGCTTCTCAGATAGGTCGTCATCTAGACATCGTCAATGCGGCCGCAACACAAGGCTCGCGAACGAGAAGTCACTCTACTGCTGCAGAGGAGCACAAACTTGTGTTATAGTGGATACAATTCACATCGATACTCTGACCACAGTAAGCGTGGTGCGTCAGCAAACAGTGCCTAAAATGCAGAGCCAGTGTCGTCAGAGTAGGACCGCCACCTTAACGTAAGTATTTTGCCCGTTAGAGTTTTGAAATTGTAACGAGTACATTACTGAGTTACCTAAAAAAGCAATGTACTACCATTAATGCCGTTACTTGTAACATGCTACGGCTAATCCTGCACGAACACAGCGGTCAGCATGTGTCTCTGACTAAAAAAAAGGAATTAAGGCTCCTGAATTCCTTGCTGCCACTGTAATGGTTGCGCTTGCTTTAACGATTTTCTCTAAGCAGACTAGCGGTTCAGGCTAGTTGGTTTCCAGTTTTGCTAAAGTGGCCTTGCGCAAAGAAAGAATGGAACACAGAAACAATGAAGACGGGCGCTTGCTTCCAGGTGAAGGTTTAGTGTTTTCTTGAAACACAGAAAAAGCAGAAAGAAGAACAAACAAAACAAGGAGTGCAAAAGGAAATGCAAGAGGACCTCCTTCCAATCGCCGTGTCGCTACGCCGGCGTCTTCCGGAAATGCTTTAAAGAAAGAAGTATAGTTGATGGCACACGGCACCACACACCAAATTCTTTGGGTGGTTTGTGGCTTCCACGATAAGCTCCGCTTTTTCAAATGGGCACTGCAAAAAATAGAGGAGGAAGAAAAACGAGAGAAAGAATTATGCACTGCTCATTCATTTGTCATGAGGAAACACATTTTAAAAACGACACTGTTGGTTGCCGCCCATTGTGCAGTATACAATGCTGCTCATAATGAAAACATCGCTGCTGGAGTTCGAAATGGCAGTATAGCAGTGTTGGGAAGCTCAAGCAGGTGATCATTCAAACACATTCCAGTTCTGCCTGAAGGTGCACAATGGAATGCGTGTAGCAAAGCGACTAGCTCACCTTCAGGAAGGTACGAGTCAGTTTCACCCTCAGCAGAAATGTAGAAATGGTGAGTGCATATCTCGCCGCGAACTGCCAAGATCAGAGCAGAAAAAAAATGGTTCGCATTCTAAACATGTCTTGGCTCATTTCAGAAAAAAAAGTAACCAGATACCCGTGTCCTGGATAGTATCGAGATAGGGGCAATACATTGTAAAGTATTTCACTACTGAGGTACAAATACATTTTTGAAAAGTATCTTAATACAGCAATACAGCTACTCAAAAGTATCTATGAAACACTGTCGCGATACTCTTGAATCGTAATACTGCCCAGCCCTGGTTAATACATACACTTGGGTACGTGCTTTCAAGGCTTAGAACCTTTATCTTGCAGTAAAACCACTTTTACAGGAGGTTACATGTGGACCAATATTATATAGACGTAGTCATTCATTTCTAATACTTTGCAATTTCCAATTGAGGCAAATTGGAATTAGAATATTTGCACAAGCCTTCACATGGAAGGTTAGAGATTTATATCTGAAAATGGACAGTCTTTTCTTCCTGTTTTCTTTTTTGCTCTTTCAGTGGGCTCATCCAGAAGAGTCTCTGATAACGAATGCCAGGCAGCCGTCATTGATTGATGGGAATTTCAGCTGTATATCACCATCGGTGGCATTTGGCCATGAAGAGCTGGTAAGTTGCATTGTTTTGCGAGTACTACTTGAAACTGTGCATTCTTACCAGGTGGTAATTACACTTGCGCTAACTTTGTTGAACTTACCCATAAATTTCCTCGAGCTAAAGTTGAAACGCAGTGCACACTGCTTCTGCTTTTTTTTTTTTTCTCTTGTCTTTTTGCACAGAGTACAGTGCTAGGTCAGTGAATGGCGAGGTGCAGACGCAAGTGTTTCGCGGTGTTCAGGAGTGCAACACCTGCGCCAATTTGATTCAATTACCCTTTTTTGCGCTGAGCTGCATCAAAACCATGAAATTCGCCAGAATTGTGCCACACTGCACCAAAATGCCTGACCAGCCTCAAAACTTTCTCAGTTGCGCTACTTTCAGCGAGATGTGGAGGCCACGTTGGCTACTTATAGTTTGCGTCGTCAATCAATCCAGGGATCCAGGTGCACATACTCCAACCTTAAACTAGTTTACTAGGATAGGCCAGTGCCCGGAACGACCGTAGCACCAATGCACAGAAAGCGCAGGCCAAACAGAGTCAATCTGCATGCGGAACTTCGGTTGGTAGTCTGTGATTTGTCATTGCTTTAAGAGATGCGTGCGGCTTTGCTGAGGTAGTAGAGGGGCAGAATTCCCGCTTCCCACTCAAAAAGACCCAGGAGCTGTAGGTAGTAGATTTGTATTCTTAGTGTCACTTGTACTGCTGTGTTGGTTTTCTTTTTTGAGCTTCAGTTGCTACATATTTCTACCAAAAATTCCATGAAATACGAATTTAAAAAAATGTTTGACAGCAAGGGTATTCATTTGCAGTGCCACTGCATGGGATTCGGTAAAAACTTCATATTTCACGTAACTTTTCGTAGCAATGCATAGCAACTGAAGCTAGATTTAGAAAGAAATAAAGCAAGCCAATACAGCTGTACAAGTTACACTAACAATAAAAATCGACCGTCTACTGCTGCGATTTGAACTTGCATCTTTCGAGTGGGAAGTGTGGGCAACTACCCCTGGACCATTTTTGCTGAAAACCACAAAGAGATAATTTTCAAAAGCGAAACCTCAAAGTATGTCGCTATATCGCACTACTCATGTAAAGTATGTACTATGTAGATAGAGACTCTCCCGGTACAGCGGTCTAGCAGTGAGCACCTCATCCAAACTTTATTGTTAGCAGCAATTTCGTAATGCTTTTCTAAATTTTGCTCACAAATCTTGTGTAAAAATTGAATATTTAGTATAAAGACAATATCCGAGCTTCAGAGAGTCTAGCGGGCTTCACGGCAATCACCGAATGTGTTCTAGAGAGCTTGGCCACACACTAAAATGCTGGATAACTGGGAAGCATTAAAGCAACTATTTCGCAATGAGCTGTGCTGATTTTACTGCTTGAGCAGGATATAAACTTATGCATTCATCGTTTAAGAGTGTGCCAATTCAGAACAGTCTGAAAAATCGCACGTAAGCTGTTGATTTACGTTGCCGAAGTTCCTATAGTAAAATTCCTGTGTAAATCAAAATGTTTGAAAGTTAGAATGTTCACATATATCTATTTTCATCACGTATAGTGACAACATTCAAATGTTCCGATTGGTTTGGCGCGACAAGTCCTAACTCTTTCGTTACTGCACGAAAATGGTTGTTTTTCTTATGTCTCGGGAAAATCGTTTTTGCCAGTTAGAAAAGTGCTCCAGCATGCATTGCAGCATACCAAACTTCGCACAGTGAAATGCTGGTTCGGAAAAATATGTTGTAGAACAAGAAAATTCTTCAGAATAAATAAAAATGTGAGAAGTGTGTAATTTTAGGTTGTTACCTGGTAAACAGTGCAAAAAAACCACTATATATGCAAAAATATTCAAAACAAAGGAAATTCAGAATATAGGTTTTGTAGATAAATGGCCCAGAAAAATAGTCAATGTTGTACAATATATTTCTCTTCACATAAACAAAGAAAATCGGAACCAAGGTGTTGCTCCATCGCTCACTCGTGCAATGCAGTGAAATATTCTATAGTTTTTCTTGAGACACAAGTGTACTCGTACACTTTTCTCTGTAAATTTTTGTTGTCTTGTGATAAATCTCCAGGTGTTCCTATATATAGATGGATACCCGTGATGTGAATAATCCCTCTGTAAATGAGGAGTCCAATGAACTTCACTATTTCATCTAGGGTCACCTCTCTCCATGAGCCACCTCACTCCGCATAGGTTGGCGTTTCAATATATGCATCCAAGCATATTTATTTACATTTTGCGCATACTTGTATTGAAATAAAGACAATATCGCACGCAGTTCTAAAACATTTCACACTGCTTCATAGTCAAGGCCAAGATGTGCTCCGGGGGCCTTCGTGTCATTAGAAAAAGCTCCGCAGCCAGCGCCAGCACGCTGCCCTCCAGCAAAAGGTGGACCACACACGTAACGAGAGTTGCTATAAGATTGCGCACAAAGGTCAGAAGCTATATGCAGTTGTCGCGAAGGAGACAACTTGAGGATGTGAACAAAAGCAATCCATGAACGGCTGCAGATGTCTCAGCCTGATGCAATACATCGTGACAATAAAACTTGAAGCTGAGGTGCTGTTATCCTTGGACTCTAAGGTCGTCCTCACTGAATTCAGGTGGGGTTGCTAGACAGTTTCAAACAGTGCATGTGTTTTGTAGTGCTGATGTGCACCCATGTGCGTGTCGTCATAACTATATAGGAGCGCCTAGTGACACTAGACGCAACCTTGTGTCTGATATAACAATGCTAGCAAAGCTGAAGCTGCTGGAAACTGTCATAGAAGGCCACCAGGACACTTTAAGCATGTGGCAGACCTTTGCAACAATTTTTCGTACAACAAATTTTCTCTGACTTCCAAGAACAGCTCTCTATTGAATATCTGACATATATTTCTGGCAATATTACTGCTTAACCTTGTCAAATTAAGTAGCTGACACTTTAATTCAAAATTTGGCTTGCAAAGGTTCTTTTCATTACATAACTTCGCTGTTACTGTAGCCAACATTTTTAGAACTAGGTAAGTTGCAAAACTAAGCCATGTTGCATGGCGCCGCCACTGTCAGAGACAAACATGACGCTGCTGTCGCATCCGGAATCACTCGCAGCATGCTCGCTCGTGTCACTCCCGTACTAACTTCGTCGGCTGTGCATGTTGCAGTGTGTCGCTATCCGTGGAGGCTTCTTTCTGCGTGAACAGTCTTGTGCTTCAGCGTGCCCTGTTCTGCTTTGTATTGTGTTGCGTGTTTTCATCATGCCCACATGTTGTGTTGTATGTGTTGCGTGTTTTCATCATGCCCACATGTTGTGTTCTCGGCTGTACAAGTGGCTACAGGAAATGAGAGACATGTACTACGACATTTTTTTTGTGCCCCGCGTGTACCTGATCAGCGAAAGGCATGGAACCGCGCTGTTTCTTGTGCGGATAAGAAACTGCCCAGCACATTGCGTGTGTGTGATATGCACTTTCATGAGGAGGACATCCTGAAGACTTTCACTCACGTCATCAATGTTAAGAAGGTACAAATCGCAGAGGAAAGTGGGACCTTGTCAAAGGATGCGTTCCACAGATATTCCCGAATTTGCCCGCTTACCTTTCAAATACCCCCGATAAAGAGGCGAAAGCTGCCCGATAGAAGTGGGGTACTTTTCAGAATATCATCAGCGCGCAAGTACTGCACAGCAAGAGGCAAGTTTGTAGTTTTGTAATGGCTGGTGTAGCACCGTTCAGTTATGGCTGGAGCGGCAAATCATTGCAAGTCATGCCAAAGGATGGGGCTTTAATGTGCAGGAAGTCTCGAAGCTTTTCGCAGCCGAGAGCTTCCAGCACACGTGACCAAACTATGCGATCTGTCAACTGGAAACTTACAAATGGGTGCTCGATTAGGCACGCGTCGCTGACTTCAGACGGTCGAGTGAAGTCCAGGCACTGGCGGTTCATCGTGACACATTTAAAAAATAACCATCAAACGATGCCATGAGTACGCCTTCTCTGCCCCTCGTAACGGCAGGTGACCAAAAGCAGTCTCTGATCAAACTCCGGGCGAAGTCTCGAAGCACCGTGAAAGGAAGGCCGATACAAAGCTGAGCTATGCGATAATAAGTACAACAAGCGAGGAAAAAAAAAAAGCCAGGCCTGTGCGAAATGCGCAGCACAGTCACACCGAAAGCAGGAGGAGTGGCCATTAAGAGCCTTTTATTAACAATCTTTGAGTAGCTGCTGCAAACCCACTCACAAAATACCCACTACGCTATAAATTTTGTGTAGTAGGCCGTCATTCTTGTTCACTTTCTCTTGCGGCTCATACCCACTGTGGGAAATTGGTCAGGAATTTGTTTGTTTGTAGCCTGGAATCCACGGCTCATACCCACTCTGGGGGATTGGACAAGAGAACAAACAGTTTCATATGGACGATAACTGCACTATGGCTTACAACAAAAAAAAGGGAAAAAAAAAGTTGTAAAATGCAGACAGTATATTACGCGCACATTTTCGACAGTCTAAGTTCGCTAAAGAATGGGACTGACATAAAGAAAGAAAAAAATTGGCAGATCCCACGTACAGTGAGAATCGATGATAAGCGAAGCATGAATGAGAAATGTGATGTGTCAAGTTTCTGCGGCAGCACAACAGCAAATCCCAATAATATACTGTTAGCAAAGGTCTTTAAGGATGGCCGCCACGGCGTCTTGCCACGACGACTAGGCATTTTCGTATGCTAGCGGGAGCTTGTTGCGTCGCAATCGCCACCAAACCGGAAGCTATCCTTGCGCCGTGTGACGGGTAGTCTGACTCGGGTAGTTTGACTCGTAGAACTTGCCTGGTTGTAGAAACGTTGACTGTAGCATAATCACGAGGGGCATGCACTTCCATCAAGTTCCCCAGCCTAGTGCACTTTTTTAACAATACACGTACATTGGTTCGCGCAAAGGTCTGTAAAAAATCACTACGTTGCCAAAACAGGCAAATTCTAATTGATTCTGAAAGTTGAGTGGCTGGACTAACTACTAGAAAGCGCTGGGTGCATGAGAAACAAATTTCACATGCCAAAATCGATGACCCAAAAGCGTCGATCACTATTGATCGATTTGAATAGGCGTGGTAACGAAACAGTTGAGTAATATTCATACAAACCTAGCTAGGCCACACTTTTTGTGTGTTAAAACTCTAAAAAGCATTCTTTATATTACCTCAGAATACAGAAGACTTCTGATTGTTAAATACAGTCGAACCCCTTTATAGGAGACACTCGTACAAGAGACAAATGGGTATGAGAGACACCAGTGTGCCTTCAGTTGAAACCTGCCTTCGACGTCAATGGGCACGTTTCATTCTCATCGTCTGCGAGGGTTTTGAAGTTTTAAGCTGAATAACTTCTGTCACCTTGCTCCAACTTCTGTATTTCTTCTTGCGTTCATTTCTGTATTCGGCACAACACACAGCCCAGTGCTGCAGAATGCAGGCAGAACAAGGAACATTGCAGAACCCCTTTAAATCCAGAGTGATGTTGATAGCAGAGGTGTTCAAGTTATTTACTCATGACTCTTCGTACTATATCTAGAGGTTCAGCAGTACTCTTATCTCTCTGGCTTTTCTCTCGCAGGATCGGCAGTCCGAACAGCCGCTTTCAGACTCGCTGCTTTCGTTCATGAAACACGAGCGAAGCATTCTGCAGGCTTCCTTGGATGAGGGTGCCGTTCCTTTCCAATAGCTGAGCAAGACAACTGTCGAGTCTGACGGCCGTCTCTGTGTCTTCACTTTTGACAACGGACACTGTTTTTGACAACTGTGTTAAATAGTGCGAACCACTTTACTTTGACCAGCCAACAAAAGGCAGCAGGAGAGGGCCTGCACCAACTCTGGCAGTGTGAAAACCTATTAAGCTGTTCTTTCAGTTGGCAGTGGTTGTCAGTTTTAGTGCTCTGCGTTTTTTTCTTTTTACAAGAGCTGCTGCATGCATGTAGGCTCGTACTTATGACCGTGAAGTAAATTATTGCACCAAAATTTTTTATTGTGGACAAATGGGCTGGTACAATATATATATATTGTTGCGCACATGCACGAAGACAAAAGCGTATACAGTGAACGCGCTTGTCGCCGAGAGCGAGAAAGGAAGAGGCTCAGTAGGATCTTTAACCAGTCGGCCGCTTCTGAGCTGCCCCTCGCGACCTAATAAACGACCCCTTTCAATGTCTACCAGTCTCTTTCAAACGTAACAGAGTGGTGGAGGAGCTGAGTAAGCGCTTCAACTACGAAACGATCGCTGCCACAGCTTCGACGAAGCCGTCGACTTGCCGGTCTCCCACCATCTGCCGTGAGTGACTTCGACATGCCCGAAGAAGCAGGCATTTCCAGGACCGCACCGTCTGGCCCGCTTCCGTACTACCGAGTTCCACCGCCCTTCGGAGGAAAAGCCAAAGAAGATGTCGACGCCTGGCTCACCAAGTACAAACGTGTGGGCAAGTCCAACGGTTGGAATGCAGCCGCTATGCTAGCCAACGTAGTGTTCTCCCTGACCGACACCGCACTGGTATGGTACGAGAACCACGAGGACGCACTCGCGACGTGGTATCTTTTTGTTGAAGAGCTCAGGGTGTGTTTCGGCGACTCGGTTGCTAGAAAGAAGCGGGCTGAGCAAACACTGTCGCAATGAGCACAGCTACCAGGTGAGACATGCACCACTTACATAGAAGTGCTAAGGCTGTGCAAGGTTGTCTGTGCTACCATGTCGGAAGAGGACAAAGTTGGGCATCTGCTCAAAGGGATTGCTGAGGACGTGTATAATTTTGTAATTGGAAAAGAAAGCCTCAGTTCTGTGTCTGACGTCATTCAGCATTGCCGAACATTTGAAACGCTCAAGATGCGTCGAATCGCGCCCAAGTTTGGTCGGCTGGCTAACGTTACAACTGTTGCCAGTGTGGACATGAATCCTGGCCTCGACCTTTTTTCTACCATTCGACAGATTGTTCGTGAGTAACTGTCCCACCGAGAAATGTCGTGTTCGACAGCTGACCATCCCGAGTTGTATCTGCCACGTGAGGCTATGGATGTGCCTCCTTCGACCCCATGGCAACCGACGGTGAGCGCGGCAACTGTGGAGTACAGCCCAGCCCCACAGTAAAGGATGACAACCAGATTTCTCGCGTCGCGGTATGACCGACGCTCTCAGCGCATGCCTCTGCGACACCCGACGTCTCGTTACGACGTACCCGACCAGTACATCCGTTACACAAGAACAAATGATGACGCTCAATTCAACGACGAGCGACCAACGTTTCGACCTCGGCCGGTGTGCTATTCCTGCGGTTTGCCAGGCCATATATCGTGGTTTTGCAACTGTCGGGTGACTCCTTGGTATCGCCAACCATCCGACTTTTCACGACTCTTCGAACAGCCTCATGGTGTCCGGCGACCGGCCCACATACCACCTGATGACAACTATTGGCCCAGCAACTTCCGCAACCCCTCCCCGGCATCTGACAGGAGTTAAACGTCCCCACCGCGACCTCGTGCTCATCATTTTCCTTCACCGCTGCGTCGCAAAGCGCCCTCTTCGCCACCAGAAAACTAGCCAGCGCGGCCAATGGAGGTGAGGTCGCTGGAAACGTGCTACTGACAGAAATACCTCCTGTGTGTATGTTTAAAAACAAAGTGCGTGTTTTGGTGAATTATGTGCCTGTGATGGCCTTGGTGGACACAGGCGCAACGATTTCCGTGATGAGTGCTTCCTTTAAAGACGTGTCAGGGCGGAAAGTTCTTTTTACCTGGGATGAAACTTCAACATTCTGTGGAGTGAGTGGAGAGCTGTTGCGCCTTATTGGTGTGTGTAGTGCTGAAGTATTTTTGGGAGGCCTTATGATAACGACAGAGTTCGCGATTATACCTCCGTCGACACATGATGTCATTCTCGGCATGGACTTCTTGCGAGAATGTGGTGCCACTGTAGACTGTCGCACGGGAAAGTCTTTGTGAGTGGCCAGATGCCGTCAGAACTTCCTAAAACTCCAGAAAATGATCAAACTACGCTGTGTGCCTGTGGCGATACGTTCATACCTGCGTTGTCTACCGTACGTGTTACCGGTTGTTTGTCGCGGCGCGGATTCTGACAGCTTCGATGCGAGCATAGAACCAATGCACATAAACTGCGTGAAGAGAATGTGTTGGTTCCCCATTGTGTGGTGTCGATAGATGGCGGACGAACAGGCCTATGGACTGTAAACTGTTCCTCTGAGCTCGTGACACTACCCAATGGTTTGAAATTAGCTTCAATCGGCAAAGAACACGCGACCTTATCAGTGGTCGAGCTCACAGACGTGCCGGAAAAACGTGACAAAACTGGTTGTCATAATTTGGACGGGGCGCTTATGGCAACGATAAATAAGTCGCTTAGCTCAAGCGAGTGCCGAACTTTAATGAATGTGCTGTTGAAGGACGTTTCGGTATTTGACTTTGCGCAGAAGGGCAAAGTCTCGACTGCCTTGAGCTCTAGGTCAGCTTCGTCGAAATATCGTGGCTTCTCCCAAGATTCCTTTGGGGTCACTCGCTGGAGAGGAGCATTTTTTCCTGCTGCGTCGGTGTGCGGGGTGTTTACACTGAACGTTGCCTGACGCCGGGACTGCAGCGCCTACGTTGGGGATGACTTCATGTTTTTTGGTGTGCGATATGGAACACCCACTCTAAGTTTGCACTGTCTGGTGATGTATTCACTGGACATAGATACACTTAGTTCGATTATTCAACGAAGTCCTTTCATATATGCACACCAGTGACAATGCGTAGACTGAAACCTCGATATAACAAAGCCAGATATAAGGAAATATCGGTTATAACGAAGTAAACAAAACAGTCTTGCAAAAGTCGGGAATATACCTAACGATTTTTTTTATATGAACCTATTTTCGTGTAAGATCCAACTTTGTTGTTATGAGGTTTCAGTTCAGTTCTCGGTACAATGATGTTCATTTCATGTTGTTAACTAGCCAGTGATTGACTTCTCCGCATGCCATGATGCCAGGTATGCTGTGGGAGCGCAGGGGGATTGATATTGTGGGGTTTAGCATCCCGAAACAGCATATGATTATGAGAGACGCCGTAGTGGAGGCTCCGAAAGTTTCGACCACCTGAGGTTCTTTTACGTGCACTCAAATATGAGCACGCTTGCCTACTAGCATTTTCGTTTCCATCACAAATGCAGCCGCCGCAGCTGGGAGTCGATCCGGCTGACCAGTGTGGGTCGGGGAGCGCAGGGTGGCTTAGGAGGTGAATATCTCTGTACAGTGAGATGGGGATCACAGTGTCGTGTAATCTTTGAAAATGTTTTTCTTTCAACAGACCTCAGGAAGTCTGTCGAAAAACGGACTACACAAAGCCTGCACGCTGGCCACGACTTCCTTCATGTAGCCTTGCACTGCACCCGTTTGCTGCAAGATTGCCGGCGCATCCATTTTACGACTGCTAGCAGTCATATTATTGTAGTTGATCGAGTTGGAAACCCCGTAATGTTCCTAACGGCAGTGTTGCCGGTAAACACGAACAATGGTATCAACTGCACTCTAAAATGAAAATGGAGGTTTAAATTGTTCTCACGTAGGTACCCATATGAAAAAAGACATTTATAGGCACCTATGAGCGTTTTGGCACGAACGCCATAAGTATAGCATTTATAGGCACATAAAAACACTATAAAAGCTTTTCTTAACATCTACTTCTGCTCATAAAAGCTTAGAATTCTGCTCATTCGCTAGAATTGATGGCTACTCGTGACAAATGGGTTCATTTTTATATGTGGTATCTGCTCTTCGAATTCGACTCGAAATCAGTTCGAATCAAATCGCTATTCATTTAGAACTTAAAATTCATTATTTTCAGAAGCCTAGATACAGGAGGTGGTTAAAAATCTAAAGGAATATAATAGCGTGTGTCCAAAAGGCGTAGCGCAGGTAGTATACTTAACAATGAACTATCTAGTGTGTATGTTCTGTCACTTGACAAATCAAAAACTAGTGACCGAAAGGGTGTCTCATATGTAAAAATCTTTATTATATGCTGTTTTGAAAATTGCCACCATATACACTAAGTGAAGGATGTTAGAGGAGCTTGCTCGGCGATTATCAGGTAATCCTCGAATATTTTGTACATCATCATCAGCCTGACTACGTCCACTGCAGGACAAAGGCCTCTCCCATGTTCCGCCAGGTAATCCGCTCCTGTGGTTGCTGCTGCCAATTTCTTGACCCCCAAACTTCTTGACCTCGTCTGCCCACCTAGCCTTCTGTCTCCCCCTAACTCGCTTGCCTTCTCTGGGAATCTAGTTAATGACCCTTAATGACCAGCGGTTATCCTGTCTACGTGCTACATGCCCGGCCCATGTCCACTTTCTCTTCTTGATTTCAACTATGATATCCTTAGCCCCCGTTTGTTCCTTAATCCACTCTGCTCTCTTCTTGTCTCCTACCTACCATTTTTCTTTCCATTGCTCGCTGCGTCGTCCTCAATTTAAGCTGAACTCTCTTTGTAAGTCTCCAGGTTTCTGCTCCGTAGCTAAGTACCGGCAAGATACAGCTGTTATATACCTTCCTCTTGAGGGATAGTGGCAATCTACCTGTCATAGTTTGAGAGTGCTTGCCAAATGTGCTCCACCCCATTTTTATTCTTCTAGTTACTTCAATCTCGTGGTTCGGCTCTGCGGTTATTATCTGCCCTAAGTAGACATAGTCATTTACAACTTGAAGTGCACCATTACCTGTCTCGAAGCGCTGCTCTCTTCCGAGGTGGTTGTACATTACTTTCGTTTTCTGCAGATTAATTTTAAGACCCACCTTTCTGCTCTCCTTGTCTAACTCCGTAATCATGGGTTGCAATTCGTCCCATGAGTTAATCAGCAATGGAATGTCATCGCCGAAGCGCAGGTTACTAAGGTACTCTTCATTAACTCTTATCCCTAACTGTTCCCATTCGAGGCTTCTGAAAACCTCCTGTAAGCATGCAGTAAATAGCATTGGAGAGATTGTGTCCCCCTGCCTTACACCCTTCTTGATTGGTATTCTGTTGCTCTCATTATAAAGCACTATGGTAGCA